ATACTAAATTCAATGTATATGTTAAATTAAAGTTCTTTGGCTATTGGTTTTATTTTGTAACAGTTTTAAATTCCTCAGTAATTAATATCTGTAATCATGCAAGAACTATTTATATTTCCTACATAATAAATTGTAAATTGACTTACCATTTATTTATCAACCTCAAAAATAGATATTAATAAAATTAGACTTATGTAGATTGTTCATTTTGTATTTTTACATCATGGAGTAATTTCAGCTAAGTAAAGAGTAGAAACTAGAATACTTTAAGGAATTATTTCATCCCAGTAAAGGACTCCTGATCAGTGTACTCTTTTAATATATATATCAAAAAGAGTAGAACCCAGTATTGTGGGATCTTTGTAGTAAGAGTGTTACTATTTAAATCATAGGATTGTTATCCAACAATTTAAATTTTGTAAACTTAATCATTTTGTGACACCACATGATTGTTAACTATCGCTATCAATGCTAGCTATTTGGCATCTAATATATTTGTACTTCAATATTCAGAAAGAAATAGGTGTTAATTGATTAGTAATTTTAGAAAAAAATAATCTAGCTTCATACTGAAATATCAGTTCATTATCTATTTATTTCTTTCATTTATTATTCGGTTGTACTCTAAACAAGAAAGAAAAAACAAATATGAACAGCTTACACGACGACAACAACATTATAGTTTTTTTGATTAAGATAATGAACTGATTAATATTAGACCACAATTGAAAACGTGAATCACTGGACGGCCGTTTCGTCTTGTTGTGGGACTCCTCAGCAGTGCGCATCCACGATCCCGCTCCCTAATCCGTGTCGGGTAGAAACAGGTGTCTACCTCAGTACAGTCGAAGATGGTCGCTCAACCTCGTGGATTGTTCGAGGTTAGACATTAACACCAATGGATGCCGGCTCAGTGGTCCAGTAGGTTAAGCGTTCGCGCACGAGACTGAAGGCCCTGGGTTCGAATCCCGCGAGCGTGATCGTGCATGCACAACACTGAGTCCGACAATAAAACGAAAAGGCCGTCCAATGTTTCTAGGTTTTCAATGGTGGTCTAACATCAATCGGTTCATGATATCAATCAAAGAAAAACTTAACAATCTCCACAACCCTTAAACTGATAACATTATAGTTATTCTATAGACAAAACTTAATTCATATATTAGATAAGTATTACATTTTATTTAGTTTAATTCCCCATATGTTGTATTTAATTCTAATACATGGGGCTTTATTTAATAAAAATGAACATATACAATAATTAAAATCTACATTTATTGTATCATTTTGAATAATTTTCAATGTTTTATTACGTCATAGTTATTGTATCAATGGATATAATGAAACGTACAGCAGATCAATAATTTAATTATTTACTATTATCAATTAAATTTGAATACTTCATTGTAGATCAATGTATTTTATATTAATAAATAAATAAGGATTCATAGTCTAAACATTAAAATATAGACAGTAACATGTATACCATACAATTGCAACTATATATTTATTGCATATTCAAATATATTATTCATTCTTTAGACTAATCAATAAATTTAAAAACGTGTTTATTCTTTCTTTATAATAATTACTGCTACTCTTTTAGTAACTGGATTGAATTTCAATTTGTTTTGTTAGTATATCAATACGTGTTATCATATATTTCCTTTTCTAGTAGCTTTTTTCAGTGTCGTTTTAAAGTCTTTCATGTATTTCTGCTTGTCAGCTCTAATGATCTTCTCCACTTGCTTTCTTGATTCTGTGTTATCAGTTCGTGTCTTGACATGCTCTGTACTTGTTCGATTGTTGTTAATTGCTGACTCATTATTCTTCCTTTCTTGAATCTCAACCACAGTGTTGATAGAGATTCATTCCTTATGATGATGCTTCTTACGGCCTAGCACTTCTTGACACGTTGAAGTCAATGCTTATTTGATCCCTTTCCAGTTGTCCTCCATAGTAGTTTCTTCTTCTTCTTCGCCTAGTACATCTTGTAAGATTTGGAACCTGTTGTTGAGAGTTATCTTGAATTGGTTGGGTTTGTCAGTTGTCGAAGGAAGTCTGTATTGAACCTATGTAGAGCTGTTCGTCCAGTTGTCCAGTATTTCATTATCTTCTGTTTTATTCTGACCTCAACCGGTTGGTGATGATCTGAAGGTATGTCAGCTTTCCTCCTGGTTCTCACGTCTTTCATTGAACTTGTGAATTTTTCAATGATGCAAATATGATTGATCTGGTTTTCCGTGGTGTGGTCCGGTGAGACCGAAGTTGGTTTATGTATGTATTTTTGTGGAAATCCAGCGTCACCTATAACCATTTTCTTGAGGGCATATCAATTTAGAAATCTCTCACCATTGTTGTTCGTTTCCCCAGTCCATATCGTCTCATAATATCTTCAAAATCAGTGTTGTCCATTCCAACTTTGGTGCTCAGGTCTTCTATGAAGATGGCCAGATTGTTTTCTGGGTATTACTCCAAGTTTGAGTGAAACCTCACAAAAAACTCATCTTTATCGTCTCCACTGCTATGATTGGTGGGTGCATAGCACAGGATAATATTCATTGTAATCGCCTACTTATACAATTAATTTTTATCAAACACTTCAGTTACTTAACTTACAGATAGTTTTAGTTGAACAATAACAATTTGTTTATTTCTTTGCATTGTCACGATCACTATCATGCTTGAATCTCATTAATTGCCTTCGCTTCGCCTCGCTCAGCCTTGATTTGACAATAAATTCGGCTGTGTATTCTTTTGCTTACACACACCTTAGCCTCTCTGCTCCGATTCACTTGATGCGCATGTAACTTTGTGATCTTTGCTATCCAATAATAAACTGTAGCAGCTCCTCTTGTTGCTTTATGAGTTAATACACCGTTTGAAATTATAAACGAAGCCAAGCCACTAAAACCGTATAATCTAAAATGATAGCTAAATACCAAGTTGTTTGATGCTTTATCGTCAATGTTATTAGAATATCATGACTAAATCTGAGTTTTGTAACTCCATTGGTTGGTGATCAACAGTTCACTGTAATTGACGGCCCAATATTCATCGATACATAAGTGACAAATAGATATGATAGACGATTGGTATAAGCAGAATTTTCATTTACTGAAAAAAATCTGTTAATGAAATATATATATATATATATATATATCAGACGCCCAACTTCGAGACCAACAGGCAGAATTCCGTAACGATAGATCGTGTACAGACCAAATCGCAACTATACGGATCATTGTGGAACAATCATTTGAATGGAATTCATCGCTCTACATCAACAAGCAAGATTCGCAAATACAACACAGAACGCATCAATCCTATCACAATTGACGGAGAGGACTCGGGAGATGTAAAAACCTTTACATATCTGGGCAGCATCATTGATGAGCACGGTGGGTCCGATGCAAATGTGAAGGCGAGGATCGGCAAAGCAAGAGAAGCATATTTACAACTGAAGAACATCTGGAGCTCAAAACAATTGTCAACCAACACCAAGGTCAGAATTTTCAATATAAATGTCAAAAGAGCTCTACTCTATGGGGCGGAAACCTGGAGAACTACGAAAGCCATCATCCAGAAGATACGGGTGTTTATTAACATTTGTCTACGCAAAACACTTCGGATCCGTTGGTTGGACACTATCAGCGACAACCTACTATGGGAGAAAACAAACGAGATCTCAGCGGACGAAAAAATCGGGAAGAAGCGCTGGAAGTGGATAGGACACACATATCAGCTACAAAGTAGGACCAGGTACATATATGCATCGGTCCAAGTTGCCACACCCCATTAGCACAAAAAGATGAACACAGAATTCATAGAGATAGTTAATTCAATGGTAGCAATATGTTAAAGAAAGATTGCATATAAGTATATGGTCCAGGTAGTATGGATTAGTTTGTAGAGAGAAAGGTATAAAGTAACTTTAATCTCACGGTTTAAGGAAAGACAAAGGGTATATACTCTTACGCCATTGTAATCGATTCTGAGCCATGTCACGAAGAGTCTCTAATCACTGTTTATGATAGTTGCACGCACCGCAACTAAGTAGTCTGAATCTACCAGCATGACTCGGACCAGAAGTTAGTGACTTCAAGCACTGATGCCACGTTTTGGTTTGGCCGCCCCTAACTTCCTTCCAACCATCCCCAACACTAATCAGCATTGCGCGTCATGGTAAACGGTGTTCGGAAATACGTAACACGTGACCCAGCCATCTCAGTCGATGAAGATTCACATTTTCAACAACTTGTTTACCATCATTCCCTAATACCCTGCGCCTAATCTCACTATTACTTACCCGGTGATCGCAGCAGATGCGAACAGTATTTCTAAGACATCTGTGATCAAAACTGGTAACTTGCAGGTATTCTTTACCATTAATGGCCAAGTTTCGCAGTCGTACAGTAGGGCAGAACGAACTGCTGCACAGTATACTAGCGCCTTAATTGATAGACAGATATCTCGCCTTCGCCATAGGTGACGTAAGTTGGCAACAGCCAAACGGGCTCTTTGAATCCGGGCAGAGGTTTCGTCAGACACCAACCCATTGAGGCCGATCAGACTTCCAAGTGAAGTTGTCGACGCGTTCGACTACTTTACTCACTATCCTTAGTTTAGGTGTTGACTCAGGCCAACCCTGAAGTAACCACTTGCATTTAGATGAGAGGAAACGCATCAAAACATCCTGACATTGTTTCTCAGTGTTACCAAAAGACTCTGCATTTTATCGGCGTCTTCACCAAACAGGATTATATCATCTGCGTATTCTACGTCGATAGGTAAACATCCTGAAAGGAGATCAGTTCTTGAAAATCCAGTTGACGAGAACGTTATTTCCAATGCCGCATACATGTATATATATAATATTTATTTCATCATAGTTAACTTCACACAAATAAATAAAATAATATTTTATTTTCATTACGAACCTTTTAAATCAACAAATAAACTTTACAACAATACAAATATGTATGGGTAAATAAATTTACCTGAAAACTTTCACACATTGGTCACATTTCATAGCTTTGGTTGCATGTAAAGCTAAATTATGACGTCTTAGACCAGTGTTTGAATGAAATCTTTGTCGGCATATAGAACAACAATATAATGTCTGTTTAGTTTTGATTAATTCGGTTGAAGGTTTTGTCTGTTTCAATTCAACTGAGCTGTTTATTTCCTCATTTTGTGCAGTACAAAAGTTTGACTTCATGGTTTGTTGTTGTTCTTGGTGATGATGATAATAATCAGGCAGATTCAGTTGTTGCTGTGGTATATGAAATGAAATTTCATTTTCACTCTTTAAATTGAAATTTTCCGCTTGGTTTTGAAAAGAATTATCAATGAAGTGAGCAGTTGTGTAATTTGTTAAAGACGTATTACTGTTCACAGATACTAAAGTGTTTGTATTGGAAGTAGTAGTTGTGGGTATATTGTTAGAAATTAAGGTTTCAGCAATATTTGTATGAGCATCAGTATTATAACTAGAAGTGATCAATTTATCATTTTGAATTGTATAAAAATTAGTGGGACAATGTAGATCAACTCCAGTAGAATTGAAAAGGTTAGCAGCCGATGCAAATCGAGCAAATTGTGATACAGTTGAATAATTGGTTAGCGATAATGGAATGTCATTATTGGTACTTATAGTAGTGGCAATAGTATTGCTATTATTGTTTGTATTATCATGTAATATAGAAGATGACGATGTTGACTGGGAACATGATGATGACAATGATGGATTTATTTTGAAGTTAGACAGAGATAAAATCTGTGCCAACTTATTACTGTTATTATCATTATCACTGTCATCGTTACAATGATGATGATTTTGATGTTGATGATTTAAATTAATAGCAATATTTTCTTGTAACTTTGCAGTTAATTTTATCAATTCGTTATTGAAATTTATTCTATCCAAATTTAAATTTGACCATAATTTTAATGCAGCATCTTCAAGTATTCGTGAGCTAATTTTATTTTGGTTATTAAGACTAGATGTACTTTCTAGCACGAAATAGTATAAACAAAAATAGAATAAAGTCTTATTATAAATTAAGATGTACTGGTTAGAATACAGAAACAAAACAGTAATCATAATATTGATGCATAAATTTAAATGAAATTCACTGAATAAAGCTTAAGTGATTTATGGTAGTTAGTCAGTCTATTCATGTATATGATCAGTTAGAATACAGTTCACTTCGAATACTGAGCAGTGTTTGATATGTCATGGATTATTACATCGGAATAAATAATAGGTCTATTTGTATGCACTCTAAATAATAATGGCACAAACGTTACTTCATTATCTTCGATTAATACATTTAAGTTAACTAATAAAATATAACTCTGTAAGTATTATACTGAAGTGCAAATACTAACTTATACACTGTTTGGTGATACCGTGAAACGAAGCTGTCACAGTCATTCATAAATCACGTAGTACTTGGCACAAATAAACATCTGCTAAAATTGCAGAATCATATCCTCATAGTTAGATGAAATTAATAATGTTCGCAGCTACAGGATTTGGATACCATAGTAATGTCAAGAATAGCGAAAATGAATATAAGCTGTACATAAAGGAGTTTTATGTTTATGATAGTTTTCTATACACCAAAGCTTAAGAGTGGATGAGACATAAGAAATATTTTGATTGTCCATGTGTTCAACAACTTCGCTTCCTATGGTTAACCTGTGCATTGATGAACAGCAATATTGAAGCAACGATTAGGATTCAAAGGAAGAGGACCGTGTCCCCGAACATTCTTAATTTGTTATTCACGGAATCGGTAGGGCCCCTGTTCTTGTCAGTTTTATTTTTAGGATCATATCTATAGTGAGGTTTTATTAAATGGATGGCCATGACAGGTGCACATCTATTTAATCAATTCATATGAATCCTACATAATTTCTTATCAGACACCTTGTATCTAAGTGCCTCAGTTACAGTCTGGTTAACAATGGAAAAATTATAATTTGAAGAGGAGTCAACGTTTTGTTGGCATTTTTACAGTACTTAAAATAACTGTCAACCAACATCAAGATCAGGATTTTCAATACACATGTTAAAACAGTTCTACTGTATGGGGCGGAAACCTGGAGAACTACGAAAGCCATCATCCAGAAGATACAGGTGTTAATTAACAGTTGTCTACGCAAAATACTTCGATCCGTTGGTTGGACAATATCAGCAACAACCTACTATGGGAGGGAACAAACCAGATCTCAGCGGACGAAAAAATCGGGAAGAAGCGCTGGAAGTGGATAGGAAACACATTGAGGAAAGCACCAAACTGTATCACAAGGCAAGCCCTCACATAGAATCCTCAAGTCAAAGGAGGAGAAGAAGACCAAAGAACACATTAAACAGGGAAACGGAGATAGACATGAGAAAAATGAATAAGAACTGGATGGAATTAGAAGAGAAGGCCCAGGACAGAGTGGCTTGGAGAGTGCTGGTCGGTGGCCTATTCTCCATTGGGAGTAACAGGCGTAACTAAGTAAGTTTACAGTATTTCAGCCGAGTCTACATTCAAAAGATTGTTGACTGTTGATGTGCCAAAGAGTAACAGTTACTAATTTCTAATTTGTAAAAACACTAGACATAACAAAAAATCGCATTCATTTTCAGTCTATACGTGACTCATATTGTTAGTTTCAATATACAAACAATTAAAAAATAATGTTTATATCCAAAGCCCTTTGTGAACTAATATCATAAATCCAATACACATATCTAATAGAATATTTTCATACTAATTATATTAATTAATAAACAATTTGGATTCTTAATACAGGAATAACTCTGAAAGTTTTAAGTAGTATTATTAGTCCAGAGTCCATATAAAAATTTCCAGGACACTTAAGATGTCTGTGCTTGTTTGCTGAGAAAAATATAATTAATTCAACAAAATTCTATTTCTAGTACAAAGTTTTTTACATAATTTTTCTCTAGGGTAATAAAACTTTATATATATATATATATATATATATATATATATATATATATATATAAACGAATAATTATACAGGTCTACTAGAGCTGATTACCTGTGTAAATAGTTATAATGATGACGAAAAGAAACTCCACTTTATGGAGTTTCAACAACAGTTTATCATTAAATTTTTTGATGACAATCAACTTAAATGACTAATAATAATAGTAATAATAATAATAATATAGGCAATAATAAATTTACTAATCAGTGGGTATTAATGAAATCAATTAAAGAAATTCATAAAATTATATGATTGACAAAATATATTGCTACATGAATGAAATAAATAAGTAACACTTTAGAAAATTTATTGATTTTTATACAAAGTGAAAGTTGAGAATCCGACAGAAGAGAATACATTCTTATTTTGGATTCTCATAAACAGATATTTCTACAAACTATTACTATCAATGACATTCGACCACAATTATAAGAATCTTGGTTTCTGTATTTAAACATGTTATTTTAAAGGATGATGGTCTGGCTTTTAGATCAAAAATGTAGTTTTATCAATTCATAAAATATATGAATAGCAATACTTTTTAAATTATGTGACATAATTCAAGTCAAACTTAATCGGTCTAACTGATCGGAATATATAATACACATGCTTACCTATTTCTTATTCTAAAAGAAAATGTTTATTATTATGGAAATAGAGTAAAAGAAGAATGAAGTGATTAGACAAAGGCATGAATGGTACCAGTATATAAAAGAAATTAGTGTGAAATAACGGCAGAAGTGAAGACGAAGAAAGAAACAGTTATTCTTTTGAGAATTTCTGTATCATAGAGACCATCAAATCTGTAGGTGATTATGAACATACTCTATCAAAGTCTTTATGATTTTTAAAACAACACTAGAACTGATTACAAATTTTAATCTAAAGACGAAAATAATTCTTTTCACTGCCATAATATATCAGATTAAGTTATCAAAATAAGAAAGAAAATAGTTCCTAGTTGATAAGAAAAGATAAAAAGTTCAAATAAAGTTTGGATTCATTATGATTTCCGTTTAACATTACTTCCGTTTTTTTGCAAATTTCAATATGGTGATTATTCAGTGTAGTATTTGTTTTGTTTACCAGTGTGACCTTTTATTCACTACAATATTAATTTATTTGAGTGTGATGTGTTTGTTTAAGATGCAATATTCCTTGTATTAAATTAACATGAACTATACTCAGTATGATTTGCAGCATGTGACTTGTAACAACTTTGAGTATTTTTCATATATGTGGTTTTATTCTAATTACTAATCGAAATGAGTATACAATCAATATATGTGTGTAATTTGGGGTTAATAAATCTTCAATTGTACAAGTCTTGGTGTTCTTAGTAAGCGTCGTGGAAATTGCAATAGTTCAACACATTCATTGGAGATATATGAAATTCGGCTTTGCTAATGACTTTTTCAACTAATATGTCTTATCCAATGTTTTTGAAGGTATAACTCAAACAATCTAATTTCATCTAGTAAGAATAGTACCAGTGTTATCAGTATTTAATGTTAATTATGTACTGAGCGCCCATAAATTATGAATCTATCAAATCTATCGTTGATTACATATCCAAACAAAATTATTACCTTAGTGGAAATAATTTTAAAACATTGTTACGTTGAATTGTTTATCAAACAAGTATGAGAATTATGTCCCAACCAACAACTATTAATCAATTTTTTATCAGTCATTTTAGTGATTATGTTAAATGAATCAATGAAGCTAACTAAAAATGTAATAGTTGGCGTTTCAATCAAATAATTTATCGATGATACTAGTTCTAGTTTATTTGTGTTTATAGTAAATATTGATAAATCAATAGAAATATTTTCCTCAAGAAATACGTGCATGATAATACTTTAACTCTAAAGTGTTTTGGTTGTGCATAAATATAATGGTAATGATTGAGTAGTTTTTAATAGTACGCAGTGTAATCAGACGTTCTATTTGTGTTTGAAACTTTTCGTTCCATTCAGTGTTATTGTTTTACATGATTATTGGTTGCTTCTTCTTGCAAACACTTCCTCGGTGCTTGACAATGAATTATCAATTATTATGCAGTAAATTGTGCAATTAACGTTGGCTTTTTTATTTAAGGGATTTCGTCAGTATGCCTGGTAAAGATCGATTCATATATATAACATAAGTGACTTAGTGTTGTCAACTAACACATGTCTGTACTTCATCAAGATACCGAAGAAATGAGATCTGAACAAGTGTGAGAACTACAGAGCCATCGCACCATTGTCAGTACTAGGGAAAGATTTCAACAAAGAGTTGCTGAACCGGATGAAAGTTTCAGTAGACGACCAACTTTGAGATCAACAGGCCGGATTCCGTAAAGGTCGGTCGTGGACAAATCAAATCGCGACACTACGGATCATTGTAGAACAATCAATTGGATGGGATTCGTCACTAGACATCAACTTCCTTGACTATAAGAAAGCGGTTAATAATGTGGATAGGAGGACCTTATGAAAACCTCTTCGACACTATGGTTTACCTAAGAAGATCGTCAAAATCATCCGAAATTCGCACAACGGACTAAGATGCAAGTTGTGCATTGAAGACAGCTAGCATTCCAAGTGAGGAACGGAGTCAGACAAGATTGCTTACTCTCCCGCTTTCTAATTCTTCTGGTGGTTGACTGGATTATGAAGACCTCCATATCTGACGGGAAGCATGGTATATAATGGATAGATTGAATATGACTAGATAATGTTGATTACACAGATGACTTAGCTCTTCTATCCCATACACATCAATAAATGCAAATGAAGACAACTGGTGTAACAGCAGCCTCTGCATCAGTGGGCCGCAACATACATAATGGAAAAAAACAACATCCTCAAATACAACACGGAGAACACGCACCTAATCACACTTGATGAAGAGACTCTGGAATAGTTTGAAACATTCACATATCTGCACGGCATCATCGATAAACAAGTAGCATCTGACGTAGATGTAAAGGCGAGAATTGACAAAGCAACGACAGC